AAAGTGTAAGGTCACACTGGGTCTAGAACTGTACAACTACAGTTGGAGAACGCAAGTTACAGAACTTCATGAAGCGCTTCAGAATGCGAGGTTCCTCATGATGGCGCGCATCCTTGTACAAAGGATTCAACCATTTTGGGATACATTGTACCGGAAGCCGTGTTCAAAGACTTAATCATGTCAAAAGAGAGTGACTCTGGCTTCTGCCGGATCGAGATGGCTGTTGGGTCTGCAGCCGGAGCGGGCAAGGCAGCCTGTTGTCAGTTGTGAACATGAAAGATATTTATGTTGCCGCCCCGCCCCTGTCATCAGATCAAAGTGGCAGCCCTTGTGCTGCAAGTTCCCCAGGTGCTCACGACTGGGTCATCCTCCCCAGAAAAATGTGAACTCCAAACCCTCAGCCGACTGGTGGCAGGAGAAGAAACCAGGGAATACGAGCACATCCAACCTTGAGTCTAGCGCGCGCACGCTTCCGGGTCAGCAGAACTCGTGATTCCCCAGACTCTTGTTCGAACACCTCGTGCTCTTGCTGGATGAAATCCAATTATTTCCACAACAGATCAGGGATGTCCTTTCTGCACAACACTTAGGCTGCACAAAACGGATAAGTGCCATACATTGACACGGAAGGGCTCGAAGCTGGCAACCCTTGGCTCTTGGAGACGCACCAAGTTGCACTTTCATCAACCCATAAAGGAGATACATTAGGTGAAGCCCCCACCCTGGTAAAATAGGAATATAGAAGACCCAGGTATCCAGATAGTCACCATTGCCGGGTCCAAGGCACACCTAAAAAATGCAAAGCAAATTGTTCCAAACAACCACAAAAAAAGGGCAACACAAGGTGTCAACTAGGACCTCCAGCTCAAAACCAACTACGGCCTGAAAACAGGCCTGCTCAAAATCCACTTTCCTGTGTCACAACACAAGATTCATCTTGAAAGCATCCCTCGTTGCAGAGTCCTAAGCCCGAAAACAAAAAAGCAGAGGCCTCCACCACTGGTGCAGCATTGTCCAATGAGCCTGTAAAGAGAGTCTAGGTTCCTTGTCCTAGACTATTGAAGCCTGGCAAGGGATCTTAAAGGCCTGCTTGGACACATGCAGTATGGGGTTTGCTAATGAGGCAGATCACAGCATCATGGTCAGCATGTCCCTTCTCCAAGTCTTCAAGGCTGTTTAAAAGCAATCTCATGACCAAAGAGCCTGCGAAGCTCCGCATGCGCAATACTGCGGCGCGGACAGCTGCAAGCCTCATGGTATGCTCACAAAGCGAGTCTTGTAGTTTAGGTGCCCTACAAAATCAAGAGCACCTGCTAACTGTGGCATCAGGTGGCTTTGATAATGTCCCAGTCTTACGGGTTGCAGGTTGCCACTAGGTGATACGACCGCTCATCTTGGGGTTTCCCTGCGAGGTCCAGGGATTGCGGCTAAGGGTTGGTATATGGTTCCAAAAGCAACGAATCAACATCCTGAAAAATGAAAAAAGCCGAAACCCCCGAACCTGCGCTCCTGAAAGTTCTTGCAGAAGTCTAAGTGACTGATATCCCTTGCTAAGTCCTTGTTCAGGTTGGTCCCCCAAACCTGCTCGCCCACTCCCTGTCCCCCCAAAATGCTGAACACAAGCCCTTGATCCTGAAGCTGAACCTTTCAACCCTAAACCTTCAAGACGAAACCTGGGCCAATCTAACCACCCATATGAGCCATAATCTAAACTCCTTAAAGGGGGTTATATAGGGGATTATATATGGGACTACTATAGGGGTCATTAAGGGGGATACTAGGAGTTTAGACTATAGCTCATATGACAAAGATGCCGGGATGCTGTGCAGCCCTTGGCGCTCCTCTGACATGTCTCTGGGCTTGGCCCTGACGTTGCTAAAGCAAAGTCCCTGCGCTAAGTGGGGCCCTGATTTCACTCATCAAGGCTTACATATCAGGGGCTTCTTGAGGAGATCTGGTCCTCAAAGCATTAGGGGTGAAGTTCTGAATCTTTTGGGAGAGGCTGGGTTTGGTGCTAAGGATTCGGGTCTGTGGGGTTGCATGGCAATTCAGGGCTTGAGGAGTTGACTAGTTGAGGCGGGAAGCTAGTATCATTCTTATGACTATGACATGCCTCTTTCTACCTGAAGCGGTCAAGCAACTTTGGCAACATCCTCTCACTCATTACCCTAAATTGCGGCACACTTCCATGGAGGGAAGAGGGGACGTTTCTGTTGATGTGGGGTACTTGGGAACGTAGGTATGCGTGAGTTTTGAGGATTTCAGGCCTGAGACCCTTTTGGTGAACCCTCAGGCTGATTGCACTAAACTCAGACTTTGTTCAGCCTTGCCGTGTCTTTTGATAGCCCTATACCCTACACCCTAAACTCGGCGTAAACCCTACTCTCTTTGCTGCATGATGGCAAGGCGCCAAACTTGGTTAAGCCACAATCTGTCTACGTGAATCTCTTGTGCGATTGGTGACCCCCAGCAGTACCAATAAACCCCACTGAAACATGCCTGTCAACCACTTTCAAGACGTGGTAAGTTGACATTCCCTGCGGGTTTAGAGGTGTGACGAATACCAATCAGGGAAACGCACGCGCTGCCCCATGATTACTACCTTCGAGCTCATGCTAACAAACCTGTAGTCCCTTTCAAGGAAAACTTGCAGTTCAACTCCTGCTAGTGAGTATTGCCCTGGTCCGTTGACAGAAAGTCTCGGACCATTATTTGGAGTTCGCAAGATCAAGCGCCAACAGATTCATAGATACATGATTTGTCTAAGACTCCAACTGGAATGCTGGTATTTCATCTCAAGAATACATCCTCTCCAAGAGTGAAGGTTGGGGTGTGGGTGTTAGATTCAGGGGCGGTTGTTAGGGTTTGGGCTTTAGGGTTCAGGGTTGGGGACTAACGTTTGCACTTTGGATGGGTTTAGGGCTTTAAGCTTGGGACCGGTGCAGGGCCCGTGCGGCAGTCAATTTCCAAAAGCGCGGCCTAACCTTCATGTTTCTGGTAGCAATGGCTGAATCAAACTCCTGACAGAGCAAGCGAACCCCCCTCTGGATAGCCACCCCTCAACCCAAACCCTGACAGCTAAACCCTAAACCCCTATGCACGTTAGCGCGCTATCGGCAATGGCAACACATGGAAGAGTGTGTAAATGAAATGTGGGCCATGGGTATCCCTGCTTCGGATACCTGACTTTAACCCTTGTATCTTCTATGCGAGCAACTGGGAAGCCAACACATGTGTTCAGCGTAGAGTATAATCTGGTCTGGCTAGTCAAGCAGTACACGCTGGCTCGCCTGGAAAATCGTCTCTAAGATGTCGGGAGTCTGCGATCGGAATTGTCGCTGGGCGCCCCTTACCTCAGGAAAAGGACATCTCCACATGGAGTCCCCCCCAAAAAAAGCCTCTAGAGAGAACCTGGGAATAAATTGAAAGTACCTTAAATCCGCCACCCTCTGCCCATGAGCCCTAAACCCCAAACTCTGTAAGGAGATTCTGAGGTCCTCTTAAGGATACTGAAGGCAGCAGTAGCATACTCTGAAAGACTCTGGAACGTAGTATAGGGTTTGGGTGCTTAAGGGTTTCAGGGTTTAGGGCTCTAGGGTTTCAGAGACCCGTGGTGTTCAGCTACTGTGCTCTTTGCATGCAAAAATTCAGGTAAGCCACACACCACGCAGGGTGAATGTAGAGGCTCAAGGGTGGAGATCTGGCAGTTTCAAGACCCACGCCTAGCTCCCCGGACCGCCTTTGTACCTTTCATATATTGTCACCGCATGGAATAGCAGGAGCAACCCAAACGAAAAACTTGCGAAACTCATTGAATACGCCTTCCGGAAGTGCAAAAATTAGGGATCCATGTATACAAATACTATCTACATTGGGCCCTAAAGTCTACAAATATTACCCACATGGGGCTATTTGGACCCCTAGGATATTTCCTCAAACTCTAAAACCCAACTCCAAAACTGATACTCCCAACCTGAGACCCTTGGCGGTCTAGGGTTCAGCGTTTAGACGTTTTAGGGTTCAAGGCCCTGCCTTTAAGGCCTCTGGCTTACATGAGCCCTTGTCTAAACTCCTAGTATCTCCCTTAATAACCCCTATAGTAGTCCCCTATATAATCCCCTATATAACCCCCTTTAAGGAGTTTAGACTATAGCTTACATGCCTTCTGAAGGTATTCATTGGATGCATTACGTCAAGGGAACCCTGCAGGAGGTGGTATTTGGCGGAGAGGGAGGTGAAATCCATAGTAGCAGTTACAATTCGAGCAGTAATAGCAAGAGTACGCGCAAGTGTAATTACATTGTTAGTATTAGTATACTGGTAATAATGTAAACAACCCGGTGTTCATGTTAGTAAAACAATAATGTCAAGATGCAGACTCCATGAGCAACACGCTCAGCCCATCTGCCATGTGTAAGAGCTCCTGCAGCGTGGTTTGGCATGGCCGGAAGGCTCGAGCTTACAGATGAGCTCATCGCATGTTGGGTTCATGGCCTATGGCTTGAGGAAATGATGGAACTGTAAAGGGTTCAGGTGGGCATGGAGAGCGCTATGCCAAGTAGGACTCAGCTACCTGGCCCAGGTCTCACCCTGGCAAAGTAGACAAGCTTCACCCTAGTGCTGATGAAGCTAAATGCTTAACTTCAAGCGACCGAAGCTCGGGAGGCCCTGAATGCGAAGCATGCGGATTTTCCTGTGAAATCTTCAAGCAGACATGCCGTGGGTGAATGCCAGCAGCGCTGCTGCGGATCACACCACTGTGTCAAGGACCGCCCAGTCTCAGGGAGAAAACAAGCTCTTCTTTAAACTTTTCGAGACACGGCCACAGGGTAGTTACATTCAAGCACCGTTCTGTGGTGACTCTATTGTGGTGTGCTCATGGGCCGGCACTGGGACTACCTCTGGGCCGCCCATCTGCTCCTGGGCCGGACTTCTTCCAGCTTCGCTACCAAATCGACGCTACACTGAGACTGCTCTCAACCTGCACCTGCCCGCGCACGTCAAGCTTCATGAACATTCTTTCCGGTGTAGTCAAAGTAGATCTCCCGGTTGGAGCCTCTGAAGAAGTGAAACTGCTCTTTGAAGGGTCTGTTGGGCATGACGACTTCTTCCGCACTGGGGGTGTGTAGACTCCCTGAGATCTTGTAGCCCACATGCGTGCCGCCTGACAAGACGAACGAGTCGTCTGTGACCATGACTTCTTGGTACCAAGTGAATTTTGTCTTCCCCTTGTAATCGATGATTTTCCAGCTGCCTTCCAGCTGCTTCAGAAGATCCTTCACCTCATCATCTGAAAGCGGCACAGAACTCCGGGGAAGTTCACGCACCATGGGTAGCGTTGGTTGGCAGCAGGGAAGCCCCTGTGACTAGGGTATCCGCTGCGTGGGAGGAGCGTCGCAGTATACCAGCGCCTTGATCCCACCTTTCCAAACACGATCCTGACACTCTCTAGGCCCGACATTGCAGAGGAAGACGCAGTGTGTGAGGGCACTGGGTCTTGGCACCCTAAAGCTGGCAGAGCCGAACTAAACCAAGCAACATGCCCATGAGGTTTTCAAGCAAAGTGCAAGGCGGGCAAGTTCCATGCCATAGCAAGATATGGGAATCAAGCCTGGACCCCAACAGACCCCAACAGCCTGAACTTGCACTGCAACTGCAACCTTGGTTGTGCTAAAACCGATAACTTGTCCAGGTGGAAGCCGCCTTCAGGAGCAAGCTCAAAACAATTCTCTCCAGCTGCAGGGTTCAAACTGACACCCGGCATTGAGAACTTGGTCCACCAACTGTTGATCCTTATGTTACCCTAGGGATCCAAGTATACAAATAACATCTACATTGGGCGCTAAAGTCTGCAAATATCACCTACGTTGGGCTATTTGGATCCTTGGGGTTCGGCCCTGGAGACATTCAACCCTAGAAACATTCAGTGCTTCCACCAAAACAGGGGCAGCAAGTTTCGTCCACATCAGTCGATGAGACTTCTTTGTTGGGAATATGCTGTATGTATTGACGCATTGCTATCAAGGCTTTATTTTGGGAGTGGTGATTGCAGAAGGTTCTGTATGGACTACTGGTAAACCGAAGATGTAACACCTACAAATTGCACAGACCTCCTCAGGAAGATTCTCTGCAAGCTTGAAGATCTCCTCGTAGGCGGCCTGCATCAAAAGAGAGGCATTATGTCGGATTCATCACTGGCGGGAACTATTTGAACTCGACCGCATTGGACCACTATCATCTCCGCATAAACATGATTTGGCGAATATGACCCCAATATACTATAGTAGTTTCCATTTTATTTTCCATTATCCCCAATATTATCCCAGTATAACCCCAATATACTATAGTAGTTTCCATTTTATTTTCCATTATCCCCAATATTATCCCAATATAACCCCAATATAACCTAAGGTTCTGATGGTACCTATGCCTTGTGACCGGCTTTGAAACATCCCCATTTCAGGCATCAAGGGCACATGCGGCGCTCCCAAGCCTGCTACTAGTCAGGGGAGCCCCCAAAAGCGGCAGTCTTCGGGATTGTCTGGATGCAGAGGTATACAAGACAAGGAATTCCCAACAAGGAGCCCTGAAACCCTTACTGGTGGTTACCAGGGAAAAGGGGAGCATAATCCCTATATATATATACATATATATATATATATTGTACTAGCCACAAGTAAACGCACGGACCTCCATGCCCGAAAGCTTCACTCGTCGAAGGATGAACGCCAGGGTCTCACCTGCATTTCTTGGAATGGGCCAAATAGGCTATTACGGTTTAGGGTTTAACATATCACCTCTCCACATGAGCTAGCGATAATTGAAAAGAAAATGTAAAGGTTTAGGGGGCTATCGGGTTCAGGGTTTAAGAGTTTAGGGGTTCACGGTTTAGGGTTTTGTAGGGTTTATACGGTTTGTAAGGTTCAGAGGGGTTAAGGTGCAGGGCATAAGGTGTATAACATATCACTTGGATATGTCACCTGTCGTATTACCCAAAGGGTCCAGGTAGCTATATTACAGTATATACTTAGGCCCCAAAAGGGTTCCCATGCATCTAACTACTTTAGGAGCGTATATACTATATGAGCTGCAGTCATTACTTCTTCACATGACTAATGTACATGGGTTTCAACTTAGGGACCATATGAGCGTACTAAACTATAAGAAGAGGCCCCATGTCCCCTGCCAAGAAGCCCGGCTAATATTGTCAATAGCTCAAATACATATATATATATATACATATACAAACCCTAGAAAGCTGATCCTGGCATCGGGCATGATTCTGGGAAGAAGGCATGGCAGCTGATGCTCATGATGCTGACGTCTCGCGTACTTCTGAAAAGAAGGCTGGGCAGCTGATGCTCATCATGCCGACGTCTCGAGTACTTCTGGAAATAAGGCTGGGCAGCTGATGCTCACGATCTGACGTCTCGCGTACTTCTGGAAATAAGGCTGGGCAGCTGATGCTCATGATGCTGACGTCTCGCGTACTTCTGAAAAGAAGGCTGGGCAACTGATGCTCATGATGCTGACATCTCGCGTACTTCTGGAAATAAGGCTGGGCAACTGATGCTCATGCTGGCATCGGGCGTACTTCTGGGAAGAAGGCTGGGCAGCTGATGCCCATGATGCTGGCACCGGGCATGGTTCTGGGGAAAGGTCTGGGCACCTGATGCTCATGATGCTGACGTCTCGCGTACTTCTGGAAAGAAGGCTGGGCAGCTGATGCCCACGATGCTGGCACCGGCGTGCTTCTGGGAAGAAGGCTGGGAAGCTGATGCTCATGATGCTGGCATCACGCGTGCTTCTTTGAAGAAGGCTGGGCAGCTGATGCTCACGATCTGACGTCTCGTGTACTTCTGGAAATAAGGCTGGGCAGCTGATGCTCATGATGCTGGCATCGGGCGTGCTTCTGGGAAGAAGGCTGGGCAACTGATGCTCATGATGCTGGCATCAAGCGTGCTTCTGGGAAGAAGGCTGGGCAGCTGATGCTCATGATGCTGGCTGGCATCGGTCGTGCTTCTGGGAAGAAGGCTGGGCAGCTGATGCTCATGATGCTGACGTCTCGCGTACTTCTGGGAAGAAGGCAGGGCAGCTGATGCGTATGATGCTGGCATCAGGCGTGCTTCTGGAAAAAAGGCTGGGCAGCTGATGCTCATGATGCTTGCACCGGTGTGCCTGTGGGAAGAAGGCTGGGCAGCTGATGCTCATGATGCTGGCACCGGTGTGCCTGTGGGAAGAAGGCTGGGCAGCTGATGCTCATGATGCTGACGTCTCGCGTAGTTCTGGAAAGAAGGCTGGGCAGCTGATGCTTATGATGCTGGCGTCAGGCGTGCTTCTGGAAAAAAGGCTGGGCAGCTGATGCTCATGATGCTGGCATCGGTCGTGCTTCTGGGAAGAAGTCTGGGCAGCTCATGCTCATTATGCTGGCATCGGTCGTGCTTCTGAGAAGAAGGCTGGGCAGCTGATGCTCATCATGCCGACGTCTCGAGTACTTCTGGAAATAAGGCTGGGCAGCTGATGCTCACGATCTGACGTCTCGCGTACTTCTGGAAATAAGGCTGGGCAACTGATGCTCATGATGCTGGCTTTGGGCGCAACTGCTGCCTTTGTCGGACCTGGCTTGCAACTCCGGTCTACGGCTTCCAGCCCGCAAGCCTAAGAGCCTAGGACTCTTTAAGCCAAGGCTTGAGGAGTCCGAGGCGTGCCGGGGTTTAGGGTTTATGGATTAAATACGAGGCCCAAGTCCCCAAACAACTAAAAGCCATTGTATTCTCATAGTCAGGGAAGCTTCAGTAGCCAACACCAAGAAAACAACATTCCGTGGAGATCATGGAACTACGCAATTCCAGAATTTCGCTACTGCAACTCTTCTGCATACATGTGGCTAGCAAATACGACATTGTAACACGAACTAGGCACATAGGGCGCCAGTCTATGCAGGCGTTCGTCGCAGAGTCGGGGCCAGCGTGAATCAAGAGCAGTTGGGTCCATTTACTGGACGTCTAAGATGTCGAACAGTTCGTGCTGTGGGAATTTAAGGCCCCGAATCCTAACAATAGGAAAATGTTAGTGAATCCGACCACCGTGGCAACTCTCTACCCAAAATGTTTCATGACATGTCAAACGTTCCGCATGGTCTTCCAGAAAGAACCTATCCAATCTATGCAACGTTGTAATATTTGAGATGCGCGAATATTGAATGCCCGCATGATCTTGACCTTGGGCCACGATGCGGGGCAATGGGTGCCTCTCGTGTCCTGAATGTGCCCTGCAGTTTCTGAAAGTAACGGTTTCAAATTCTCCCCGGCAATATCTTCTAAGTTTGTGTGACGTTATATGGGATGGACTTCACATGAAGAAAGTAATGTAGGTAGACGGCCATGTGATCACGTGTGCACGTCCGAGATGTTTTGCCCTGTCTTTGGCTACCGCACATGTCAAAATTTGATTTTACGGAAGACCGCTCCGGCCTTCACTCCCGAATGAATACCCTTGGGATCCAAATAGCCCAATGAAGGTACTGTTTACAGACTTTAGGGCCCAATGTAGGATCCCTCGGGATTTCATGGCATCCGTCGCACAACTCGGAAAATCTCTTGTTCAGCTATTCAGATTCAAAAGAAGTTTCGACAGATCTTGCCCGCGCTACTTCTAGAGCACGTGGGTGCTTTGCATACGTGGTAGCTGTAGAAGTAGCAGTAGCAGTAGCAGTAGCAATGACAGTAGGTGTAGGAGTAAGAGTCGCAGTAGCAGTAAGCATCACGGCTCGCATGAGTCCACACAGGGCTCGCCTATGCCATGGTTACAGCCTGTGAAGGGAAAGCTTAGCTTGAATGCACGCACAGGCTTTTTGCTGAGACACCTGCACCAAATGCCCTGGAGGTCTGACGTCAGCGCGTTTACGAGAATGAGCCTATGTTATACGTTGCAGACTGCCCTGCAAGTGATGAGCAACGGGGGCCTCCGCTGTTCCTTGAACAAAGGGTAGTGCCGACGGAGCTCAGATGCCATGCCTCTATGACGGTCACGCGCATTGTGTATGCAAACAAAGGCCACAAATTATGAGCCGGTCCCAAGTCTGTGACGAGGAGTAGTCAGTGTAGCGGACCTTTTGATCAGAACAATACTTGCTCCGCGTGGTGTGAGGTTTGTGGGCCTTTCCGCAGGGTCCACGCCAGGCGACCTACAAGATATGCCGTGAACGGTACAAGGGTTGAAGCTTTGCGGAGCGACAGCTATAAAGGTCCGCGGTCCCATCCAACTCAGTTGGACAGTACACCCTGTGTGCCTCTCATGGTCTTCACGTTTTTCCTGCCCGCCGCACTCA